TAAATATTCCGTATGAATTCTTCCCCTCACAAAATTCTCCATCTCATGCTTTTTTTTTTTTTGGATGCTGTTGACCAGTTGCTAACCAGTTTAGCAATGTTTTGCTTTACCCTTACTCCTCTCCTGGTCCTGTAGGTAGCATTTGAGTCACAGATGCCAGCCAAGGTGGAAAAGCCATAGCTCAATTCCCTGGGTGTGTTTAGGAAAAGACAGTGCTTCTTTCCCCGGCTTGACTCAAATGTTTATGTTTCTGGAGGTGTCAGATGCAGGTCCACCCAGCCTACATTGTGCCCTGGAGATGGCAATGAATGCTGGGAGGAGAAAGAAGGTGTTTATGAAGAAGAGTTAGTCTGAACCATGAAAGACTAGTCAAAATCTGCTAAAAAAATTGTATCTCTGTCCCTTTTGCTTCATTTTCTTCATTGGACACCTATCAACAGGTTACTGGGATGCAGTTTGAATGAAAAGTGTGTAAGGGGAAAACTGTCTTGTGTCTTTTAAATTCCTTTCATGTCCTCAGCCTGGGATACAGCAAAAGGGCTCTTTATTTTTGGAGGGTGATGAACCCTATGTCCTCTGGGTCCCTTTGGGTGCCTCAAATTAGGTACCTAGAACTGCAGTTCTCCTTGCTTGTGGTTTGCAGGATAATCTCTCCTCACCTCCTCCCCAGACTTTCTGGTATTTCCCTGGCACAGGTATCCTCCTTGCTCCTGTCTGGTTCCTGCCAGGGGGTGTGTTTCTTTTGCTGCATTCCAGCAGTTGCCAGCTCAGGTTTCAGGAGCAACTGCTGTGCCAGCTCTTTGATACTCAGAAGCTGTGGGGTTTTCTGTCTGTTTCCTGACCTGGCATGACTCTACTAATAATACAAGTACTTCAGTGCTGATGTCCTGGCAGCCTAATACAGGAGGTCAGTCTGTAAATATAGTTACAATTTTCTTTGCCTCAGCAAAGTCAGTAAGTTGAACACAATGTAAACAAGGTGGTTGGATCACTTCACCCACCAGTAATGTGGTGGGTGATGCAGGCAAATTTAATGGCCATGATTAAATCTCCTGTTCCAGCCTGGCAGCTGATTAGCTGCAGGGGGCAGG